TTCCAACGAGTGATGGATAATGTTCTAAAGGACCTACAAAATCAAATCTGTCTAGTTTACTTGGACGATATTATCGTGTTCAGCACTTCATTACAGGAACATATAATAAATTTAGAAAAAGTTTTTTGTAAATTACGAGAATCTAACTTTAAAATCCAGATGGATAAATCTGAGTTTTTAAAGTTAGAAACTAGTTTTTTAGGTCACATAATCTGCAGAGACGGTGTTAAGCCTAATCCTGATAAAATAGCTGCTATTGAAAGATATCCTTTACCTAAAACTACTACTGAAATCAAACGTTTTCTCGGATTACTCGGTTATTATAGGAAATTCATCCCTAATTTCGCACGTCTAACCAAACCATTAACTCAATGTCTTAAAAAGGGTTCTAAAATCACATTAGATAAAAATTATATAGATTGCTTTGATCATTGTAAAACGCTTTTGACTAACGACCCCATATTACAGTATCCCGATTTTACAAAAGAATTTCTCCTCACAACTGATGCATCAAATGTTGCCATAGGCGCTGTCTTATCACAAGGTGTTATAGGCTCCGATAAACCAATCGCGTACGCGTCACGCACTTTGAACTCAAGCGAACTAAATTATAGCACCATCGAAAAAGAACTTTTGGCTATCGTTTGGGCAACCAAGTATTTTAGACCATATTTATTTGGCCGTAAATTTAAAATAATTACTGATCATAAGCCCCTTCAGTGGATTATGAATTTAAAGGAACCGAACTCGCGACTTACACGGTGGCGATTAAAGTTAAGTGAATACGATTTCTCTGTTATTTATAAGCAAGGAAAATGCAATACTAATGCGGACGCGCTATCTAGAATAGAATTAAATAATGAAGAACTCATGTCCATCGTAGCAAACGCATCCGAAAATTCAGCAACGTTAGATGAATCTAGAACAATTACAGCTAAAGATCCTTCAAATAACTCAACCACTGCAACCGTTCATACAGACTCCGAACATCCGATACTAGAAGTTCCCATCTCAGACGACCCCTTAAATAAGTTCACAAGACAGCTTATCTTAAACATTGTAGGTGATATGAAAGGACGACCGACCGTTACTAAGCCGTTTGATACTCACACTCGCATAACAGTACAGGTATCAGAATCTACTTTAGAAGACGATGTCATTAGCGCAATTAAGGAATATGTTCACCCTAAAATTAAAACCGGCTTGCTTATTAACCCTCCTCTAGGAATGTACTCTATTATCCCTATTATTCAAAGAACGTTTAAAAATTCCGCTATGCAACTCATATTAACAAAAAAGGAATTAGAGAATGTCAGAGAGTATTTGAGGCAACAAGATATCATTAACAAATATCACGATGGGAAAACTAACCACCGTGGTATTAACGAAACTTTTTTAGCTCTATCCCATAAATTCTATTGGCCTAAAATGCGCGAACACATTACAAAATTCATTAACGACTGTACTATTTGTGGTCAAGCAAAATACGACCGAAATCCCATCAGACCTCAGTTTAAAATAGTTCCTTCGGCAAGTAAACCTTTTGAATTAGTACATCTCGATTTGTTAACTATACAAGGAGAAAAATTTCTGACCATTGTAGACGCATTCTCTAAATACTCTCAAGCGTACTATTTGAGGGATGGCACCGCAGTTAGTGTAGTACAAGCTTTACTTAACTTTTGCACGCACCATGGCATACCACTCACTATAATCACCGATAATGGACCAGAGTTTACTAACCAACTGATAGCAGAATTTGTTAGATTACATAAGATACAGCATCATAGAGTAGCCGCGCATGCACCCAATGAAAACGGAATAGTTGAAAGATTTCATGCAACTATTTTAGAGCACCTCCGTATATTAAAAGTTAGTCATAAAAACGAATCCGTGATTAACCTCATGCCATACGCCCTTTTAGCTTATAATAATAGTATACATAGTTTAACGAAATGCAGACCAATTGAAATTATAACAGGACACTTTGACTCTCGAGACGCTTTTGACATAGATCTTACTACTCACTTATTACAACAGTATATGACTAACCATAAAGATAAAATGACCAAAACTTATAATCTAATTCAAGATCTCAGTACTGACGCCCGTAGAGAAATTATGACCAACCGCAATAAAAATAGGGAACCCGAAATTGATTACTGCCCCGAGCAACAAATATTTATTAAAAACCCAATAGCATCCCGTCAAAAGTTAGCACCACGTTATACACAAGACACGGTAATGGCAGATCTTCCCATTCATATTTATACAAAGAAAAGGCGCGGCCCCGTGGCCAAAAATAGGTTAAAAAGAATCCCTAATAGCTCAAAATTGTTACAGGACGATCCCGGCACTTCTTCTGATCCTGCCAGCAACGATAACACAGGAAATAAGACTTGAAAGTCTCGATAATGGCCCCGGTGTACTTCCTTTTAAATTAGGCTCTAGTAGAATATTATCTCATTACCATTCTTTCTTACAATATGTTAATTTGCACACATTACAAGAACAAATAGATTCTATACTTATTCAATTAAATAACAATACTTTTGAACTCCATAATAAAACGAATGCCTTATTTGAACCTCACATAAATTATTTAAATTCTAAAGTTAATAGTATATCAGAACAATTACAAACCTTTGAAGAAAACCGCTCTAAAAGAGGACTCATTGATGGTCTCGGATCGATAGTTAAAAGCATTACTGGTAATCTGGACTATACAGACGCTTTGCACTATAACAATGCTATTAAAGAGATTCAGGATAATGAAAATAAGTTATTAACGGAATTTAATAATCATGTTAGTTTGACTAAAGATATAACCTCACAATATACTAAAATTATACATACCATAGTTGGCAATCAAGAAAAGATGCAAAGTCTTATTAATAAAATTACAGATAGTGATGCCACCAGAGATTATGATCTTATTAAATATGCCCATCTCGCACAGATACTTCTAATACTCAGCGATAATGTAGATTCAATATCACAGGAATTGACTAGATTACAAAATATTTTAGCGTTTACTAGAATCTCCACCATGCATCATTCATTTCTTTCCTTAAACGAGATTCGTAATCTCATTAACAAATTGAAGATAATATACGGGAGCGATAAAGTAGTAGACTTAGATATAAGAGAATATTATGATATAATTAAGCTAGGTTCATATTATATAGGAAACGAAATAGTTATAGTCTATAAATTTCCCATTTATAAATTACATATATATGATTTATATAAACTATCAGTTATTCCCAATAAACTCCACCAAATCCTTATTCCTCCTTCCCCATTCCTAGCTGTCCACGAGAAAGATTTTAAGCACATAGAGACAGAATGTCCGAAGACCAGTAAATGGTTCTTATGCGAAGAAGAAAGGAGCCTGCAGATTCTTCCAGCTCAAGATTGCATTCATCAACTTATTACTACTCAACAACGTAGTACAATATGCAATCCCGTTAACGTCGAACTCGAACAGCCCGCATATGAAGAATTGGACGACAGACATTACACCGTCAGCTTCCCTGTACCAACAAAAGTTCATCTCTCATGCGGACAAGATCTATATAAAGAATACCAAGGCAGTTATCTCGCCGTCATACCACAGAACTGTTACATGAAGACACCGCAGCTAACCATCTCCAACACTAAAGATCGATTAAAGGGTCACGTGCTTAAGATAATGGATCTACCCCAAGAAGCAGATGTCATCCCACCACCAACCGCCGCACTGAAACTTAACTCTATGAACCTACAGCATCTTCATGCAACCGATATGAAAATCTCTCAACAGCGAGCTGTTCACTTCCAGACTCGAGATTACACTTTGTATCATACTACAATACCATTATACATAGTAGTGATCATTACATGTGCACTCGCTATTACAGTGCTATATCGCAAATACTTCAGAAGAATTACCGCTGTAAAAATTCCCGAAGATGAAATTAACACGAAACAGATTTACGCAGATCCAGTACCGAAATTAAGAAGAAACCAACCACCACCTCAATTTACAACTAAAATCTTCGGTGGAGGCTGTTCTACGAGGGGAGGTGTTACGGACGCCTAATATATGACAATCGCCAAGTCAGCATCGACACCGATCAACAATGCACACGGCACCAGGCGGCACGAGGCGCAGCGTCAGCGGAACGTGACAGGCATTGCAACACCACCAGCGTTTCCGTCAAAATTAAATATTATAATTCATATTTGTTTCACACTTCGAAGCATTATCATACTTTACTTGTAATTCTTTTATAATTAAATTTAGTCTATTAAAATTTGCTTTTTTTTAAGACCTTCGGCTGCAGATAACTTATTTCATGTTTTACTATTTTAACAATATTATTGATGTACTGAACTTCCGGTTTTGTTTGTTTTGGTTCAAAATAAAATTATTTATTTTAATATGAATTAAATTCTATAAAATAAAAAATCTATAAAAGTACTTTCAGAGAAAGAAAGGTCATTCAGACATTATATCCCAAAGGAACCCTAATAAAATAAGCAAACAGACGAGTGTATACAAAACATAAAAAAAAAATATCGTAACAATAGTTGACTTATACTAACTAGTATAATTCTTAAAACCGCCGTGTAAATAAAAACAATAACTATACAACACCATCTATTGAAAACTAACGTAAACAACAATTACATTTAATATTCTATATTAAATCTATATATTGACTCGCGTGTTGAAATATTTACTTAATGGCCTTGAACTTAGAGTTTAAATTATTTTAGCTATCAAAGTTACATAGAATCTTTATGAATGGAAAACAACCAAATACCATTGATGATAAAGTTATGCGTTGCAGTTTCATAACATGTTGACAGACGAACAGTTGGTTCTTCGTTTAGGCGTCGACTTTTTAACTAGTTAACCAAAGAACTGTCAACCGTCGACGCGTTGATTCTTCGTTAACGGTTGATTTAACTAGTCCGTTGATTCAACGCCCATCGCTAACGCACACTACGTCAGTGTCATGTCAGGCATTCATGATTTTAATCGGGTTTTGTAAACGTACAGAAAAAAATACTAACCATTATCTGATATGTACAAATTAGAATAACTATTGTTAAAGATTGCTTTGCATTTTGGTTACGTTTATTAAAATTAATTACGATGGCTTACACTGAAAAAGTCTCACTCAGTGGTACAGCACTCTCATTTCTGTTGTACGAGTGCGTTAACTCTGTAAATAGCCAGGTAAATATTACATTGATGTAATGAAATATAAAATGTTATGTTTTTAGTTAGTTTCCAATGCTATCATATTATATATATATTTTTATTTCAGGAAGGATTTCTTATTGGAGATATTACTACTGAAATCACCAATCACATATCAGATTCCCATAGTGAGAATGCACGACTGGACACGCAGATTGTAATACGGACAGTTTTGCCATTACCTTCTGTATCATTATTTTATTTTCCAACCGGCAGAATTAAAGAGGATGTTCTGTCAGAGCTGTTATCAAGTTGTGCAAATGAAGTTGTTGGTTGGTACAAATATAGAAGAAATACTACCATAAAACCTACTTTCAGAGATAAATTAATAACCAAAGGTCTACAGAAATACTTTGAAAAGTATCATGGAAAAAAGAATTTTGTTACATGTAATTTATCAAATAAAACATCCTCAGCTGGTTCCACTCATACTTTCACTTACAGGTTTGGTAAAATAAATTGTTTTGATATTTATGAATATATTGAGGATGTAACTGCTAACTTAGGGGAGAAATTGACTGGATATAAAAAACCAAACAGATTATCTCCTCATAGTGAATTCAATAAAATAGTTAAGGAAACTAATGTGCAAAGTAATAACAAAAGTGATGCTATCTTATGTATCCAAGAAGCTGTAGATGTAAGACTTATGAAAGAAGCTAAAATTGCTGCAAAAAATGAATGTACCATTAGAGAATTAGAAGCAGAAATCAAACAAATGAGTACTATACTATCTGATAAACAGTCTGTAGAACTTCAAGTGACTTATAACAAAATGCTTGAGGAGAAATTTGTGACAAGAGATGTTGAAATGGCAGACGCATGTGTTAAAGCCCTAAAAACTCTAGATACGGATGCTGTAAATATTCCAAACATTCTCATAAACAGTAATCATCTTGGAGACAGTGATAATTCTACTCAGTTGAAAGAAAATGATTCAAAGGACAGAAGTCCTAGTCCTATATTGACAAGAAAGAGTCCAATTAAACCTGTATTAAATTATGCAGCTGCATTGAAAAATAATACTGATGTTGCTTCAACAAGTGTAAGTTAATGTTGTTAGCTTAATTTGGCCCTGAAATGGGTAATGGGTAATTTATGATAATGTGGAATATTAATTTTTATAATCAAAATAGGACCAGTTCAGTTTACCTTCATATGGTCATATGTTAGAGAAGCGTTCTAGAGTGAGAGAGATTTGAAAGCAAGTATTTAGTAATAAGTATAGTGGTAGAATAAGACCTAAATTTAATGTGTGCACATTTTGCTTGGACTTCCAATGACACAAATTGGCATTTTCGAAAAAGATAAATGTTATATTTACAGAACAATTTTAATTTGTTAGTTTGTTTGATTCAATTCAATGTATAATTCTTCTCACAACCTACTAATCTATCCTGGTAGTTTGTCTGAAAATTGCTCCATAGGGGAGGCGTATTTTGATATTCGGCGACCGCCGAGTAGACGAGAGACGAACCGCGTAACGTCATTCTAGCGCTAGTGCTGATGCACGGCTGAGCTATCGCGAAAATCTGTAGTTTAGTAAACGCGATTTTTGTTTCCGCAAGTGAGGATATTCCCATATGATTCAATCTGTTGCTGAAATGCGATAATAAATTCGCGCGAAATAAAATCGCGATGCAGACAGTCCCTAATTCTAAAGCGTGTTTTAGAAATTTATCAGAATAATTATAGCCCACCAAAAATCTTAAGATTGAAAACCCATTCACATAGTTACAAGAAATGTATGAAATTATGAAGGTAAACTCCCTGGCAAACATCTTGACGTAGTTTTGATAGAGTGAGAGTATGCATGAGCATTTGTCAGCATATAATGTGCACTCGAAATAAAATTTTTATAAACTGTTGCACCTAAATTAAAATTTATTTGTATAGGCAATATAAAGTTATTTTTTATTTGTATAGGCAATATAAATATCTATTTATTTATCATTAATTAAATATATATTAATATTGCCTGTACATTTGCAGATTAACACTGCATATGCATAAGTACATAATTAAATATGTTCTTTTGTAGGGAATAAAATATAAAAAAATAAGACTAAAAATCTTTATAACATCAAATACCATTTGCCTTGCTTATCTTCTTAATGTTGGAGGATAAGGCATTGTGACATGTAAATCCAAAACACAAAAAACCTCAATAAGGACAATAACTATAGCTTATATTGTTTTGTAAAATTATGAAAACAATACAATTAGAACACAAATTTAGGCAAAAATATTTGAATGAATGTGTACATTAGCAGGACGTCTCCGATTCCCCAAAATATGCGTTCTGCTCAATCCCCACCTGGCTAAAAGATGTTTGCCGGCTATACAATAGTGTGTACGTGAAAATATAAGAAACAAGTATTATTTCATATTTATGAGAAATATTAGTAGTATATTTAAATTGTAGAGGTATTAATTAATATTTATGGACTGTGAATGCAAACTTTACTTCATTAAATATACCTAAAATTAATCATTAATTAATGGTTAAGTTACAATGCATTGCAATGTAACAAAATACTTATAAAGTTTATATGAAAATAATCATTAAGCTGTACTAATACATTTTACATAAATTAGAGTTTTTCTTAGTACATTTATTTGTTAACAGTAATTTATATTGCTATAACAGTTTAAAACAAAAAAAAAAAACTACCAAGTGACTATATTTTTATTCGAAAAGATCAACAAGAAATAAAATTTTTATATCATTTATAAAAACTGTTACAGAAGTGCAGTTGTGAACATATAATTATATAATTCAATTGTAATTTGTTACAGAAATCAATCCCTTACAGTGAAGACCTGATATCTTTTGATGTAGAAGATAAAAATGTACAGAAGCCTATAACTGTAAATGATGATGTTAAATATGTAGGTGATAGTTCACCTGAATACTGACAAGTGCCTTATCTGATAATTTTATTAAATAAGTTACCATTTTAAGTAAACTCTACTGTTATTATTACCAGTTTGTTACTAACAACTACTTTCTACCAAAACTATATTACTTTCCTTTGAATCTGTAAAAATTAAGGCGGAAACAAATTAACTGTCTGTCGGTAATAAAAAGGAGGAGGAGTAATCAAGTTCTTTACTTACCCAAAGTGCATTAAACGGATACCTATCAAAAGAGTAAATATATACAGAAGAAATATTAAAGAAGAGTAATGAATGTTAGCCACTGTCAAATAATTTGTTTCCGCTTCACAAACAGACACCATAAAAGTTGCTTCGGTACCACTAAGATACTTTAATACATGTATTATAATGAGAAATGATTTTTATTTTATACAGTAAAAACTATATTTGTAGAATACCGGCATTCTTACAAGAATATGTAATTGCCCATTTGCAGCGAAATAAGCAATTGCGGGCATCTTGCATTCTGGTGCCCAGAAACATCACTTAAAAAAATAAGGTTTTCTCCGTAAATTTTGTACATCCATGTATCTTTTTTGGTCTTCATACATAACATCATCCTGTAAATGAGTAATTTTGTAACGTAAAAACGTTAACTACTTGACGGTTTTGGGAAAAGTATATTTAATATGACATATTGAATAAAAGTAAAACATATTTATTCAAATTGACCCGCAAAAACGATTAGTCACGTTATGTGACGTCACACGATGTTCCGTCATGCCGTGTTCATGTATTCTGGATTCTAGCGGAATCCACAAAGGCAACGCCATTAATCAAAAAGAAGAAGAAAACAATCGCAACTTGATATTGCAAAAATAAAACATATTTATTTTTTAACTAAAAATATCACATATTTATTGTTTACATATTAGTTACCTTTTCCAAAACTTGTAGAACGAATAATTTTTTTTTATAATTTTGCTATCTAATCCTGTCAGGCTTTTGGTGTTTTTCAAATAAATAATCAAATGATTTAAACTGCTTATCAATCAGTTATAATTTATAATATTAGTAGGATTAGAAAATTACTTAAACGTTTAACTTAAGATAATAAAAATCATCTGTTATTATTATTATACCTACCATACTATTCTCAGGAAATATTTGACTATATTGATGATAGTGAATATCGTCAATTACTCGAAGTACTTATATAAATTAAATAACATCAGTCTCAACTTAAAAAAGAAAATTTATACAACATATTTTAGCCTCATATTTTTAAGGAATGATTTGAAAAAAAGATTGCTAAAATGAGATAGCTGTTTCCTGAATACACATTGTGTAAGACCTCTTGCACTTTACCCATGTTGCCTATGAAATTTCAAACGAGCACATTCTCGACTAAAGTTAATACTACAGTGACGCTATTCGATTACAAATAGTTTAGCTTGCTCTGTCTACCGTAGTTGATTAAAGATTGTTCACAAAAAATATCTCGTGTTCCTTCGTGTCACATTCGCGCTTAGACCAACGGTCCTGACTGTATCGGCTGTCGTTAACATTCGCCAATCCGCACAGGACAATATCAGCTTATGATACTGACTTTACCCTAATTGGTTTACTTGAGTAAAACAAGAAAAATTTTCCATTTAAGATTTAGAGAATTTATAAGTCATAAATTGTTTCGCTTAACGAAATCATATGCAAAACGCGTACAATCACAGGAATTATAATAAGCGGAATGTCAGATTGACAAGAATATATTTATAGCAAGTCAACCGGTACGGCAGGGGTGTCTCCGGCTAATTCGTGTACAGTATGTGCAAGCCGACGGGCCTGTTGCACCGCAGTTGATGCCGGTAGTAGACCTAGATGCACGCAGATCAATTCCTTCATATTTACACCCTGAGTATCATTGGGGAACGCTTGTTCTAGTAAACTCCTGTAAAGAATGAAATGTTTGCTCTCGTTAAATACCTAGGCATTAAATCGTTGGATTCAAAAGACCTACCAGACCACGTCCATTATGCTGTATGTGCCTCCGGAGGCGCAAGCCACAGGGGTGTCATATTCTTATATTTTGCAAGGGGTCAAAGAAGCAATCTAAACTGAAGATCTTAGATTTCAGGCTGGGCTATTAGCAGGCGGATCATCATGTAAAAGTGGACAAAGATGTAAAGATGTTGCTTATTAGAGCGGTATTTGGCAGGCTAGGTACGGTACTGCTGAAGGTATCGATTTCGGCAGTCAAAACACCTACCAGACTGCCGAAAGACCTACCAGACCACGTCCATTATGCTGTATGTGCCTCCGGAGGCGCAACCCACAGGGGTGTCATATTCTTATATTTTGCAAGGGGTCAAAGAAGCAATCTAAACTGAAGATCTTAGATTTCAGGCTGGGCTATTAGCAGGCGGATCATCATGTAAAAGTGGACAAAGATGTAAAGATGTTGCTAATTAGAGCGGTATTTGGCAGGCTAGGTACGGTACTGCTGAAGGTATCGATTTCGGCAGTCAAAACACTTTGGCACTACCACGTTCGAGTTCGTCTATGGGACCACCACTGAAGGTGAACCGCAGTGGAAAGGGCGTAAAATACTACCTTCACTACTTCTATACTCCATTCATTATAGCATTAGATAGAATTAAAATAAGGTTCTTTTTATGGTATACTTTGTGACAAAATGTCAACAATCATGTTACTCTTAAGACTAACGGCTAATTTGCTACATATCCACTTAAATACCAGGTGCTATACTTAACCGTTGAATTAAATAAATTCATGAGTATTTGACTGACTTAAAACATTTAATAATTATTACAATAAAAAGTGTTCATCTTAAAGAACCTAAAGAAGCAGGGTTAGATAGTTTTGGCACGATTCTCATGTCACTATAACTCTACCAAATTGCCTAATCCCTTCAAAAGTTTCGGCAGTACAGCTTTTTCATTTTGTCAGATTATGATTTATTCATAATTGTCAAAATACATAATCTGGGATTGTCATTCATTGTGAATGTGCCTTTCTTGTTATTTTGCCATTTTCGGTGAATGAGTAATTACTGTTTTATTGTTGTTTTCTTACAGTTTTGTTTAGTTGTTAAGTTTTGTTAAATTGCGATTCCGGTGCAGGCTCGAGTGGCCTACAACAATTATCTTTGACATTTCAGCAAGTTTTTCCAGTCTTAATCAATAGTCTAATAATATCTGAACAGTAATAATAAAAATTTCATTTTGTTTACCTTTGTTTTCTGGGCATAGATATAAATAAATTATATTCTAATTATATACACTTACAATTAGAATCAATCAAAACAACCAATAGATAATTTTATTTCCATGTTGGCTCTCAGTAAAAGATGAATTTAGATAATGCTAGTCTCATCTCAACCCCGAGAAAATGTAAAGTTGCCCAACTCTCTGAGACTACCTAAAGATCAAAATAATATTTTTTAATTATTTTTTTTTTTTTTTTTTTCATTTATTTGTGGCAACAACAGTCATACATAATTATGTTACTTAAAATTTATCTTGTAAATAAAATGTTCTGCACTGCTGCTTCTGAGATCCTCTTTTTTCTAATGTTATAATGAATGGTGTATAGATAAGCTGTTCTGAACTGAAAATTGTGGCAGTGCATGGGCGACATGCCGTCTCACTTATTAAGATGGAATAATTGAGAGGTAATTGAGTAGAGTAATTTTCCAATACAGCTTGTCTAGTAGTATACATAGAAGTCTTTGTTTTTGTATTAAGACTCAAATCGGAGCTCTCCAACCACCCCAGACAAGGGCGGGTTAGTGTCACCTAAGAAAACCCCCTGCGGTTCGTCTCACGCAAGTGGACGAGTCCGGTATCCTAAGGAGGGCCTCGTCATTCTGATTCTGATTACCAGTAGAAAACACAGAGTATGTCTTCCGGGGGCGGTAACGCGCGCACAGTGGCGGGGTGCGGGACGCGGGCGGGACGAACGGCCTGGTATCATAATATAGTCCACAGCGTATTTATATGGGCTGATACCACATCTAGAATGTCCAAGGTTAGGGCCTAGAACATTCTAGGTTGGCCTTAGCCTTACCGGGGTATTTGAGGCATTACTTTACTTTCTAGATCAGCTACCCGTCCCTTTCTCCTCCAGTGACTGCCCCTTACATCCGGTGTCTATATGACTCGCGTAGTTTCGACAGCGTTAGCGCGAATCGGCGGCGTTTAATGTAGCATCGAGCAGACGAAACATCACGCCGCTGCGCTCCGTAATAATAATGTAAAAGGGGTATATGATTCCTACCTGTAGAATACTCCAAATATGTCACCGGGGGCGATAGCATGCGTACGGCGGCGGGGCGCATGTGTAAGTTATCATAATTTAAAGGGGGTAAATAGTTGTTACCTGTAGAATACACCGAGTATGTCCCCCGGGGGCGGTAGCGCGCGCACGGCGGCGGGGTGCGGCGCGCGGGCGGGGCGCACGGGCTGCCCGCGCCGCTCCCACCACGTGACCGCGCACGCGTGCAGCGCGCCCCGCCGCCACGTCGCCGCGCTGTATCCCTCGCGCACTACAGACAGACCGCGAGTCACGATGCCGCGCACCTATATAACGATAAGTCGATATTTTTGACGTGGATACGTCTATGTTTTCGTTCTACAGGGGGGTCATTCTGTGAGCAGGAGTATATGCACTACCGCTATCTATTGGCGTATAAGTGAACTATGCTTGCTCTGCAGGGGGAGGGGCATTCTGTCAGCAGGAGTATATGCACTAACGCCATCTGTTGGCGCTAGTAAATACTTTTTTCATTCAACAAATGAACGCAACGAATATTTATTTATTTATTTAGTGTTTAGTGTCTTCAATTTGTTTATTTTTTTTTTAATTATTCATTTATAAATGCAATTATGCCACAACGTTGCATAATTCCGGGTTGTTTTGGAGAAGCGAATCGTTCAGTTTTTAGAGTGCCAAAGAACATTGATAGACGTGAAGAGTGGTTAAAAGCTATTCGTGATGTGTTTCCTAACCTGGATGTTGGTGAAATTTTTTTTTTTTTATCATTTACTCATATATCCACTCATACATAGACGTATCCACGCATAAAATATGGCTGTATCAATGATACAGCCAACCAGGGTTTTTTTTTTTTCAAAACTTTATATCCGTTAATACAAAGACGAGACGAGACAAAACATCTGCAAAACTATGCGAATGCAAACAGGGTTTTCACCTTTTGACTTAAAAAAACAGGTTATCATTATGAAAATATTAATCCAAAGTAATTCGCAATGGCTTGTTGGCTTATAGAGATCAGACGAAATGTTATTTAATTTGCGAAAAATCTAATTGTACTGAAATATAAAAAAAATGTTTTGAAATGATTACAACAGGGGTCAGCGTGGACGAGGCGT